GTACAATAGTTACTATGGGGCAGAACAGACCACCCCAAGGGGCAGCTTGACACCACACCTGAGAGAGTTGGGTTCGGGCCAATCTGGTTTTTTGTCAGCCCAAAAAGAAGTAGCAAAATGCTGCACCTTTTTGAGCTGGCAAAAAGCTGGCTTTTCCTGGCCCACTGTGGCTTCCCAGTACTTCTGCAGTGTGGTGTGTAAACACCATGCTGCTGGAGTGCCATGAAGCCAGCTTATGTATGGGCGTGTGGGGGGCATGATGCCTGCTTCGGGACGGCGTCAGGGCATGCAGTGTCTAAATGCCATGCCCCCAAGCTGTCAGGAAGCCGGTGTTTTGCGCCAGTCTGTTTTGGCTCTGTGTCACCCAACTTCTCTTCCCAAAATCTTAACATATTATCCCATTCCTCTTCAAATTTTCATAGTGATTTCCCCCTTATTAATGTTGTCAATTCATCCATCTACATCACATGAAGGCATTTTAAAAGCCAATCATCAATTGTTAGAGTCTTAAAATCTTTTCATTTTGGGACAAAAACTATTCTGGTTGCAGTTACTAGACATAAAATAGATTTGGCATGTTTCCTTTCCCCTTCTCCTTCCAACGTATTCAAATGATAAATAACTTCTGCACTGCATGGTATACCTTAAACCAAAATTTCTTTGTTTTCGAAAGCCCTCTGGTTTTGCAACATTTCCAACACTTTTCATCATAATTTTTAATGTATTTTAGCTTACTTGGCTGGTGTCAGATGCCACTTGTGGAGCATGTTATTGTAGTGATTCTCTTTAATGTCCATACTTAATATAAATGTTTACATTTTTATTCCAGGACTTTCCCCACTTATCCAAGTGTATTACATGTCCAACATTTTGAGCCCATCTTAAAGTACATTCACTCACTACTTCTTGCTCTATTTCTATCTGTAAGAGGAAATTACTGTATTTTCCATCGTATAAGACGACCCCCAACTTTTTCAGTTAAAATACAGGGTTTAGGATATACTCGCCATATAAGATTACCCCTCTTCCAATGCACACCAAATAAAAAATTTTAAAAATCAGATTTGATTTCAATATGGTAATTTTAATTCAAATGCTTATGACATGCAGGTACTTAGCAAGAAAACTGTCACTTATAAACACAACAAACTATAGCTCCCGTGTTCCTTAATATTTATTTCTGCAGTGCGTTTTGGACTTTATTATTTCTGCAGTGTGTTTTGGAACTTACTTTTTTAAAAATAGTCCAG